ACATAAATCTTGCCAAAGTCTAGCCAGTGTAAACAACAGGTAGAATTAGAGCATATAATGCATGCGATAACTATTGTTAGATTGATAACTGAATGCCTCAATAAATATTCAGACAATGTATTGCTATTACTTTTTCGTTAAAAATTTTTTGATAATAACATTTTTTTTTTCACTGCTCACACATCGTGAGCATGATATCGATTACGGACATTTTTCTACGAACTTCAACAACCATGACAGTTTGATCTTCACCATAAAAATAATAATGTTTGTACCACAGATTGCACTTATGTGCGCACAAAATTAAACCACAGCACTTAAAGTGCAATTAATAATAATATCTACGGGTTTTCGTAGTACAACAAAAAATATTCAATACATATAGTAGCACTGCCCATGGTGTATAACAGGACTGTCCAAAACACGGCCCGCAGGCCGCATGTGGCCCGCGTCTAATGACATATGTACCAAATATATGAATTTAAATTGATAAATTAAAAAAACAAAATTTAAAATTATAAATTGTCGAATACAACTATGAACGTATATATTTTTTTCATTGATTCGTGTTGGTCCGCGATCGCATGTGGCCTGGACAGCCCTGATGTATAACATACTGCATATAATCTAATTCATACTATTGAATTCCAAAAACATCAACAGTTTTAAAGTTACTCCATAATGGCTCAAACTAAACTTTTATAATAGGACAATTTTATGAGAAGTAGCACCGAAACATTAAGAAAATAAATTTCATATTTATATGTCTAATATTAATACCACACGCATTCATAATAAATTCTTGAAAATGATTTTCCAAAACATTTCTTAGTTTTATCTCAAATCAATAGTTCAGACCGTTATATTGTAGGTAACAAAAATTAAGCTCGCAAGAACAAGATAATCAAACCATCTGTAAGTTGCCGATATTGGCAACACTTCACAGTTTTAATAATTTTATTATTAACATATTTAGCAGCAGTGAACATCAAATTAATGTTGCTGACATATTTTTTAAAAAAAATGTTATAAAATTATGTTATTATTATTAATTTTTTCATTTCATTATAAATAAATAAAATTTTAATAACACAAAAGTGCACAAAAAAGATGTACAGCTATAGTTTTTAGCAGTACACCACTGACATATTTTTCATAAATAAATTAATGCGCTCAGGAGTAATTTGTTGATATACTCATAATTTGAATACTAATCACAATAATTGACATTGAAAACAAAATTAAAAACGTGCATTTAGTAGATAAATGAAAGTGAAATTGACCTACAGAGCTTACAAAATTTGTATGGAATTAAAACACTTAAACGACGGAGAGAATTTCGAATACTCAATAAAGTTTATTTATGATAAAAGCCATATAAGTGAAGAATTTTGGTTTGCTCTCTTTTGGTCTCCTGGAATCCAAAACAGTTTTTTTTTTTATTTATTATTTAACTTAAAACTTTGTTAATATGGCAAAATGTGTTTATTAAACAAATTAATATAAATAAATATTGAAAATATTCTTTTCTGAAACTAAATTGTAAGATAAGTTAAATTGATATCAATCGAAACAATAAATTTCAGTATAAAAAATTAACAACTTCAATGTAATTAAATAATTAAATCAAATATAACAAAAATAAATGTAAAAATTTATTCAGTAATATAAACATAAAAGTTTTTAATCAAAACAGAAAATGTAAACCAAACAATAAAAAGCCGGCTAAACTTATTTTTGTTTTGTTCTGCATGAAAAAGTAATAAGTAAAAAATGTTGTTGGGAGAGTATATAAAATTCAAATGTACAGTGGCGGTATTTAAAATGATGAAACGGAAGCATAAGTCACCTTCTTAAGCACTAGTAATTATACAATACAGAAAGAGTTATTTCTAAATAAAATTAATATTATATTAATATTATATCAATATTATATTGAACTTTTCTTCCTAAAAAAAAAAATTCATACATTAGTGTGCATAAACAAACAAAACAATTTGCATATTGAATATATTCGGCAGGTAAGTACTTTCTAATTTTTTTTTGTTTAATATTTTTTCTAATAATGTCAGGATAGAAATTAAATATTGTAAAATATATCGAGAAAAAAATTAAAAACAAAACTAATAAATTATTCTGTTATTTGTGACCAAAAATATTATATAATAATTTATTAGCAAACTAAGTTTCCCTGAAAATGAATACCGAACATTGTCGAAATATCGGAGAAATATTTTAATAAAATATAATTTGTTTTTAAATATAGATAATAAATTATAGTTTTTTATTTCTATTTAAATGACTAATTAGCCCGCTTATAAATTATTACAAAACTGATAAATAAATTTTTAGTTATGGTTAATTAAAGCTTTGAACTGTAATTTGGTTGAATTTAACAAATATATTTTTATTTTTAAATAATAATATCATTTATATATATGCAATAATTTTTTATTTTGTCAATGATAATTTATTTTCATTACAAAATATTATATTACATTATAATTATTTATTATTATTATTTTCTTTTATTAAAATAATATTAATCAACGTAATACTTTGGAAAGTATAATAGTCGATTTGTCACTGTTTGTCGAAGCCAGGATAAATTTCTTTACATGGAAAAATATTCAATATTCTTCAAAATTTGGTTTATAAAGGTCATTTCGATTTATTGCAACAAATTAAAATTGTAAATCTGTTTTTATTTTTTTCAACTTCATTCTGTTTTTATATGTCAGCTGAAAACTGGTGCAGTAAACCCAAACACGTATTACTTAATATCTATTAAGTACAATTTAGCAATTGTAATAAATTAACAAATAGTTCGAATTGTGCTATTTATATTCCATAAAGGATGTTTAAAAAAAAATTTTATTATAAAGTCAATAAAGTCTGAATCAAATCAATCATATCTGATAGGTGCCAATCAGATTTGTTAAATAATTTTGTTTTAGTTTGAATACATTATTAAAAAAATACAAACAGAAATTAATCGTTCAATTTATAAAATCAAATTCCAGAAATTTATCAAAATTAAATTCCAGAAAAAGTAAATAATATTTAAAAGCATTTGAATTGATATAAATATATGCTAATTAATGTTAATATTGGTTATAAAATTCTGTTTTTTGTTGTTATTTTTGTCATTTTTAAAATTATACTGATATACAAAAAAAATGTTTGAAATGAATTGTTCAAAATAATAAATACCCCAAAAATCAATCAATTTATTTAAACTAAATTTATTCATTCGCCAACCGTCACTGTCATCACTTTTAAAGCTGCCTACATGTTACCCCAAGCGCACGAACAGTAAAAAATGAAAACAAAATATAAACTTGCGGAGGATTAAGCTCAATGAGAGTTGGAAGTAGCCCAAGAGTAAAAGAGAGCAACATTATGAAGAGAATTTGTAAATAAATTTGCGACAGGATTGACTGCATTTGGCCAATACAACTTCTTAAAAAATTTTCTGCCATAAAAACGCACCTTGTCATTTTATCACAATTAAATACCAAAGGTAGTTAGTTGCTTTTGCTATCGGGTTGATAATAGTTGTTCAAATATTTATATATTAAAAATAATTTAAACTGAATATTATAAGAAATTTTTTCTCTGTTTTATTTAAAGAAATAAAAGCGGTTGTGTATAAAATGTGAACGAAATTAAAATTCGAAAAATCAACAAAAAAGTTAAAAATGTTATTTTTATTTTTAACCATATTTAATGTTAAAAATAACTAATTATTAATAGTGCTAAACATTTTATTGAACTCAATTGAAATAAAAGCATCATTTAAATTAATTGAACAAATTGTGCGTGTGGTGCGGTGCGTGAGATGCGTTTGTAGAAAACAAATATAAAAATATATAGATACGTATATATTTGCAGTTTTACACAAATTGGTTGGGGCCAATGCCACCTATGAGTTTCAAGAGAATCTTAATAAGCAAGTTAGCTCTCAATAATATTTACAATACTAAATGTGCTACTCCATACCCGCATCCCGCCGCACTGTTTACAGCTCCACAACACGTGTGCGTTGTACGAAAAAGTAAATGCTTTTTGTATCTGAACTGAATTTAGAGCGAAATCGCATTAAAATCTCGTGAGCATTCAGTGTAAATTGTAGATACAATAGTACGAAAACAAACTTCAGACCTACGTAAGTGTACGTATGCGAATTCTGAACAAAGGGGCCACTAGACAGGCAAGAAGCAGGCGATTCGCTACGACCTTGCAATGCCCTTGAATGACACTCTTATTGCGCGCAGCGACCAACCAGAAAGAAGACGCGACAGTAGTTGGCAGAAATGAAAACGAATTGAAATTTTGTGTGTTTTGGGCTTTTCGTATGTTCGTTCGCTTGCTAAAAAAAATTTACTTTTTATATATAAAACAAAAAAGTGAAACGAATCAAAAATATAATAATAATAATATCCAGTTTTTTTTTTTGTATTTAATTTAAGTTAATAGAAATTCAAAAAACACAAATTTAATAAAAATACACAATTTTGTTTTAATTCAACGCGACGACGCAGGCGAAACGACACAACCGCTACTGTGTGTTCAAATACGGCTTAACATTAAACGGTTTTTTATTTAAATATTTAAAAGATTTTGTTTATAACTTTATAAACTGAAAAGGAAAATAATAATTTTTTAAAATTATTGTAAATGAGTTATTAAGAAAATAATATATTTGTTTCAAAAAATAGTAGTGTTTCAACATTTAACATATCCTAGTAAACCACCCGAAATTATAATATAAAACAACCTACATTTCTCGAAGTCTATAATTAAAATTTTTATAATAAAAAATTAATTTTCGAAAACCTCTTTAAAATTTTTATATAATTTTAAATATAATAATTATAAAAATTTATGAATTTTTTAATTTGTGTGAAATATATGACAAAATAGTGAAAGTGTTATTAAATCCCACCATAAAATTACCAAAAATTATTTTAAAACTAAAATATTTTTAAATTAAAAAATTTAACAACAAAAACAACGTATCACAACAAAACAATAACAACAACAAAAACAATAAATCTAGCAAGTTCAACACACGCTACTATTACCAACGATATATTATAGCACAAGGACGAACAGGAAGCACAAAAAGCAATACACATACATGCACTCACGCCCTTCGTGCGTTGCGTGCTCTCATTTGTATACACACACTTGCTTCTATTACCTCAACATATAAAATATTGTGGACAAGCATAGAGAAATTAAGAAACAAAAAGTAAGTAGCACAGAAAATAAGAGAATATTTTGTTCAAAAAAAATTATTTTTTTTTTATCATAATAATACAAAATATTTTGGAATCCTTTTTATTGAAAACGCTCAAAAAGTAACAAGAAAATTTTAAAGTCACAATAAAGAAAATAACAACAAACACAGTATTGACAACACTATAAAAAAAAAATAAGAAAAAATAAAACAAAAAGAAAAAAGCAATTTTTGTTGTTGTTTTTAAGGAAAAATTTTAAAAAGTCAAACAAGCGCTTCTGCACAAGTTTTTTATTATCTTTACTCTTTTGTTGTTGTTAATTGGTTTTCTTCTGCATGACATTTCCTTTGGTACCAATGTCATATAAATATAAATATAAATAAACTTAATTCACACAGGCACACATATACACACACACACACACATGCAAATAAATTGTTAAAAAAAACCAAACAGAAAACAAAAACAATTTCAAATACGGCGTGGATATATTTCTTCTCCGCAAACATGAAAACACGCAACATCATAACTTTCTGGAGGTACGATGACGTAGTCTGCTAATATATACAAAAATCAGAATAAACCAATTTAATTCCCAATAAAGTAGATTATTTTAGAAAATAACATACAAAACTTTAAAATAGTGTAAACAAAATATATTTCTTCTACAGCACTCCATAAACAAAATCAAAGTAATTGGATTACGTATACGCAATGTAGTCTCCTATATAAATGAATTAACTACAATATGTTTTAATATAGTTAACAAGTTTTACATACTAAACATAATTCTGTCATTACATAATACATTTTTTTCTGCTTCGAACAAATACCAATACACAAAAATACTTAATAATTAATATTATTAAGCAGAAACAAACACAAAATTTTAAATAAAAAAAAATCACTTATAAGTCATCTCAATTCTGGAAATAAATCAAGCGTAATATTTGTAGAACTTTTTACACATTAAGATATTTTAGATAGATAGATAATAATATTCTGCCAAATACTTTTCAATATTAATTATTATATTTTATGTATATATGTCAGAATATACACAGAACATTTTAAGCGTATCAGCGCAGTTGCTTAGAATTATCACATAAAATAAAATTTTCAATTTATATTAACATATAACTTTCTACAGAAAAATATTAATTTAAAAAAAAAAATTTAAAAAAACTGCAGTTTAAAGAGAATATAAATAAGCAAGTTTCCTTATATTATTATAATATTATATCATATTATTATAAATTATTATTAATATTATTAATAATATCAAGTAACAAAAACAAACAGTAATTTGTTATTGTTGTCATTAAAAATAATATAAATTAAAACAAGTTTTAATTAAGGAAAGCAGTTTAATGGGAATATAAATAAGCAAATTCCTTAATATTATTATTTAATATCACCAAATTATTAGGAACAATTAAGTAACAAGTCACAAAAACAAACTTGTGGTTGATTAAAGTGCAAGTTTTATTAAATTCTAGCATTGTTATACTATGTTCAGATAGACAAATTTTATTAATTTCGTAAAAATGATATTAAGTTAATTACGAAAGTGTTCATACTGGCCTAAATTAAGGAAATCATATGTTTTTTGTTTACAAATCCAATGTTAAAAATTACATGCTCCAAACACCATTTGTATCTGGGAAATTTTAAAAGTTGATTATTATAATTATAAAGAATGGCATTCAGTAGTTTTATTAGCTTTAATGGATTTCAGGTATGTGAATTAATTTTTTTCACTCTATTTTAAATTAATAACAGTTACAGTTCTTTCTCTGTATTCAAATTTAAAAATATGCACTACTATCTAAATATTGTCCGGGTTTTATTAAACTTAACTGTCACTGACATTTATTTAAAAAATAATATCACTTTTTCGTTATCTCAACTTTATGTTTTGCTTAAAATTTATCTTAATTTCAACCTTCGTTTCAACGAAATTAAGGCCATTTTCCTTAATTTCGTTCTAACCTCAAAACTGAATTTTGTATGGAAAAAACAACTTAATTTCGCTAAAACGAAGATGAAATTAAGATTTTTGCGAAATTAAAGTGGATCTGAACACAGTATTACAACAAACAAAGAACTAAATAAATTTTTAATATTTTTTTTTAAACAATGTTTTCTAAACTTTCTATTTAAGGCTTTTAAAACTTGCTGCGCCATACATAACACATACACTGAACGCTCCCTTTTCAAATGACTTATGGCGTTTTTTTCCTCTCCACTAAAAACTAATAATCATAATTAATCATTCAATTAAGAAATATGAAAATTAAAAAAATATTGATATATATTGGAATGTAAGGGGCTATTTTTACTTAAACTAACCCTTTTTGTTCATACACTAATTTTAAAAACAGTAATTAAAGGACCGGACAACATCTCAAAAAAAGAGTAGATATTCATACCTCTAAACATTATATACTAATTTCAAAAACAGTAATTGAAAGGCTGAATAACCTCTCAAAAAGTCTACTAGGGGGTATATATTATTATAATTAGAATATTAAAAACATACTTTCAAACACATAGCCAAAAATTTAATTCAGAATTATTTGCTGTTATATACCAAATCAACCACATGTTTTTTCTCATTTTGGAACTATTGTAACTTCTTATATGATTACTGTAATATAATAAAAACATATTTTTTTTAGTAAATAAATAATTGCTCAATATAGTGCAACGAGCCATTCTCTAATTATATATAATATAAAATTATCCATTTAAATTTCGAAAATCATACAAAAAATATTACTGGCAAAATATTGGGTAAATACATTCTTTTCAAAAAGCAACAACGAATTTTAGGGTATAAAATTGCCCTTTATAAGATTATTGGCTTTTTAGAAATAAAAATGCAAATAAAAACTTTGGCTTTAATTTTTTTAAATAAATATTTATAAGTTCGTTATTTAAATATGACATCAATAATCTCAAGAACAACATTTTTGGTATATTAGATAAATATCAATCTATCAATGACTTCATTAAAAAATAGAGTACATGCTGGGAATAAAGCCTATTATGGATCAAAACGACTAATTTCAAATATAAAATTTCGCAGAAAATAAAACTAAAAATTTAGAAAACATTGATTTGCCCGGTAGTAACATATGGCTGTGAGACATGGAGATTAACTGAAACTGAAGCAAGCAGTGTTTAAAAGGAAAATACTCAGAAAAATGTTTGATCCCGTGAAAGAAAACGGGATGTATCGCATAAGATACAACCACTAACTAGAACATCTAGCTGAAGGTGATACAATCAACAAATGGATATGAGAGTAACTCTTAAGATTTATAATAATGCAGTAGGAACGAGCAGAAAAAGGGGGCGACCAAGAAAACGATGGAAAGACAATGTGCAGCAAGACTTAGAAGAAATGAACATAAGAAATTGGAAAACAAAAGCAAAAAACAAAGAAGAATGGAAGACTGTTTTTAAAAAGGCTTAGGTCCTATATGGACTGTATAGTAAATTGTATAAGGTCTTTATGTATTCGATATAACTTTCAAATCATTCTCACTTAACAACTTCAATCGATGCCTCTTTGTGATAATATTATCATTTTTTATTATATGCTTTTGTTTGAGCCCGTTAAAAATATTAGAATAAAATTAGAATCTCGTTCATATAACGGGAAAAACAATTATATATTAAGTACTTTAAAGATTTTACCCATTAAACATAAACAATTTATAAAATTGCATTCTATTGTGATTTAAAGTTGATATTAAACATTGAGATTAAATCATGATAAAAAAAATTGCTGAAATTGAAAATATATAAAATACATAGAAGTATATAACATACAGTCACTGTTAGACTTTGAAAACCTTATCTTCTGTCACACTTTGACTTGTATCAACATTTATTGTATTTACTCTACAATTTTTTAAATATTGTGATATATTTAAAAATGATAAAATAAATTAATGGCTTTTCATCGTTTCCTCCATATAGGAATATCATGATTCATTGTACTCTTTAAGTGACAAATAGAAGCATTATTATATATTTTTTTACTATTTACTGATTATCCGATCCCTTTTTTCATGTAAAAAAACTCTTTTTAGTGAATTTAGGAGATCCATCCACTTTTTACATGTCACCTACATACATACCTAATGGTAAGTTTAAATTTGTTATTAATATCAAAATTAAAAACCAGTTAATATAATAAAATTAGTTATCAGTTAACTCTAAATGAGTCCTTGCTATTATATTTTGTTCAAATATGTCCAACGGTTTGCAAAGTCCGTATCTAAATTCTCCATATTAGGAATCGCAAAATATAGTTAGAAATTAAGCTGGATAAAAGATTATTTTGAAGTATAATTCGTTTAATGTAAACATCATTATCATAATCATCACTATGCATAACCCTGACACACTAAAACGTTTAGTTTCTCCATTTAGGATTGGTTAGCACATCAATAACGCTATTTAATATTAAGTATTGATCGTTTCTACTTTCAAAGTAAGCATTTAATATTATACCGATTATATCGGGCTCGTGTAAAATATATATATCACGCAAGTTCCTCTTCGATACAACTAAAAACTCTTCTTTCTAAAATAATGTGTAGTACAGAATTGTCATTTGATCAATTTTTTATGAACGTGTTACCATACTTGTGTTCTTCTCGAAAGATGGAGAGTTGTTTCCTCAAATACTCATCTATGCTGTAAATGGATGTACTGCACATCATTAACTTTTTATACGTGATTTATAAAGATTAGTACATTAAAAATAAAAAAAATAGAAATAATTTTTTTGTAGCTACACCCATAGTTCATCTTAGCCGCATTTAGCATCATCCGCCTATCGTGTCTGTATAAAAAGCGCTGACTTCATTTTGAAAATATGCAGGTATGAAAAAGTATCCAGTACTTCATTTCTACCAGTAGAAAGAATGCTAGTGTATTACGCATCACCTATTCAGCATAGATGTACATACAGCTCGTCGTTCCATTGAAAACT